CACTTAATATATTATTGTTCTTATCAATAGTTGTTGTACTAGTTAGGTATTTCAAGTTTGAACTCTACGTGGTCTAACTTAATATAAACAAATTAGAGTTTTAAATCAAATATCTTTGTTGTCATAATGTGTGTGTTGATTATTACTGAAAAACTTGAATTTGTCTGTTATGTGATTCTTGTCGTCAACTACATTTCTTTATCTAAATGTAGTGATGTTTATCAAAAATCTACGTTTTATCATATTAGCTTGTGTATACATTAGGTATATTATACCTGCAACAGCACTTAAGTTTGATTTCTGTATTTTTCTTAAGCGGATTTCAAAATTATTTTTATGATTATTAATACATATGTGGTCTTATAAAACTTCACTTATTTAATTCATATATAATTTTACACTCACTACAACTTACAATTTGAAACTACAATAAAAAGAAATTATATAAATCATACTTACTAAATTAAAATTCAGTTTCCTAGTACACAAAACCTCAGTATTGATATATATAAGACAAGGAACAAATACAGTGTGAGAGAAGCCTTGTATCAATTAAAGCAGTCCCAAGACCCCAAAGTTTTGAGGAAGGATCCAACCCGAGATATTCTATATGAAGATATCACAATACTTACTGCCAATACTTTGAAGCCGGTTAAATTCTCTGTAATCTTCTATTACGTATAATACTAACTTTTATAGCTCAATTCGTCCAATTTATCATGACCTATTAAGAGTAAATAAAATATAGCATAAGCAAAATCTATATATATCTTCTTAGATATAATATACTACAGATTAAAAGCAACATTTTAACTCAATGGTTCCTATACAACTTAAATATCGTGTTATTAAAATGTGAATACAAAATTCGCACCCAACAAATAAACCAAATAAAAATCTATACAGGCTATCTCCGCCCATACAAACACATACATAACAAGTAGATCTTAAATGAATGTGTATGTGTGTGTGTATTGTAGAGACGACCAATGGTCAACTGGTCACGCTGACAAGGACGGAAATATATTGAACCATAAGAATAAAAGAGACACCTTTTTGAGGGTTGCGAACCCTTTCCCTATAATCTATATCAGTTTTAACAGCTTTAATTTAAATTACAGTAGCATTATATGAAGAAATAATGAGTTAAACAGTAAATTTGTTTCAAAGTTATTTAGTATTTTTATTTACTTATCCATACCTACAGATCTTTGTGTTTAAGAAAACAGATGAATTTTAGATATTCAGTTTTATTAATAACGTTACAATCAGAAGTAAAACAAAATAAAATACATTTAAGTCAGTGGTGGCCTAATGGTTAGAGGGTCCGCCTCTCTTCGCCGTGGCGCGGGTTCGATCCTGGCCTGGGTAACTACCAATGTGATTTTTCCGAGTCATATGTACTTTCAAAGAATATTTAGACATCACTGATTAATGCTGATTCCCAAAAGAGGGTTGATGTCGGGCAGGCGGCCGGTCGTAAAAAACAATTAACGAAAACTATTCACAACATGTAAGGAAGGCCCTGGCTATAACCGGGAAATTGCCAGGTAGAAGAAAAAGAAAATACATATAGATATAATTAGATTATTTTTTTATTATTTACTGTTTTCTTTACCGTTACTTATCATAGATTTGGTTAGCAATTTTTAATTCATTTAATTAAGAAATAATTATGAAATAATTTTATATATCTAAGAGCTGAAATTCTGTATAACCTAATACATATAACAATGTTAAAAAAAGGTATTTTTGAAAAGATTATAATCAGAGGAATTACTATTGATTTGAGAACGAAGCCGCTTGGCCGCCTTTCAAATGAGTAGACCGACCGGATTAACATGGAGCTGTACAACTGTTACTTTATAAATACGTACAAAAAGAAAATAGTATCTTTAGTTAGGGAATGTGCCATATCTTTATATTATGGAGAACTAAATAAAATTAAAAGCATGGTAATTATGACATTATAATAAAAAGGTGGTGGTGGCCTAGATGTTAAAAGGCCCGCCTCTCGTGCATGAGGGCGTTAGTTCAACACCTGGCAAGTACCACGGTGTTTTTTCAGAGTCATATCTACTTTCTAAAATTATTTCGACACCATTGACATACAGTGAAGGAAAACATGTTGGGGAAACCTGGACTTATTTCATAATTATAAGTTTGAAATCACCAACTCGTCTTGAGCAAGAGTGGTGATTATTGTTCAAATGTTCTCCATGTGAGAAGCGGCTTTTGCGAAGCAGTGGGCACTGATGGGCCGATGAAAAACAAAAAGCTCTATTTTTTATTTTAAATGCAGTGTCTCATTTAATTTTCTAAAACAATACATATATCTATACTGAACTTACTTGTTATTTCGAACATACTGTCATGACTTATTTCATACCATATAATATGAAAAATATTGAATATACAACTCTATAAAGATCCGTAAGAAAGTTTGCAAACCCAACCTGAATTTATTAGGCTGGACCCTAGAAAGGTTTGCCGTATGCAGATAAGGGATTTATTTAGCGGAAAGGTCCGTCCCAGGGTTAGCTAAAACGCCTTTTGGGTCGCGATGACCAGGATTGGGACGAAATTTATTGTCGGCTTTCGGCTTCCCCTTGATTTATTCGGCCTCACTGAATGAAATCAGTGATAATGGATACTTATTTTAGTAAATCGTATCTGGTTTTACAGATATTGGCAGAAAACAATATTATATATACCTACCTATACTAAATTACACGTTACGTTAATTAAATTTGAGTTTAGTGCTGTCTAAGCTAATTTCTTTGGATGACGATGCAAAGAAATCGATAAAACTCATTTTTGGTTAGTATCTCATTCATATAAGTACTTACTTAAATAAGTTCAACAAAAATTTAATTCACATCTTCTACGAAAACTTACGAATAAATTTAGTTTTTGGTTTCTATAAAATGTTTATGGTTTGAGGAATGCCTTTAATTTAGGTACATAATTGTTTAAAAAAAGTAAAGACTGAAAAATTACGGGAATTATAACAAAGTATCACTATTAAACCACAAAAAAGGGTTTTAAATATAATTTTGTTCAAACAAAGGAACTCAAATACCTTTACAAAAACATATTCTCTTAGTATGTGAAGTTTAAGTAACAAAATTGTCTTACATCCAGATTCTGAACTTGTAATGAATATGAAATTTACTGTATTCAAACATTACTAGAGCGTGCAGAGCTAATAATAACCAAAACAGACCTTCCACGCTGAATAGCTCAGTAAATCTAACCCTTGCAGAAATTCAGAACTAGATATTGGCTTGCAACGGACGTAGGAAAACGTGTAACGAAGCGGCGGACGGTAAATGGCGCCAATTACGAACCGGCCCGTACGTGACCCGATTCAAAATGGCGGTGTTTGCTTTAGTTGGTGTATTATGGATACGCGGACAAGTTATATTTGAATAATTACGGTTAATTACAGTACGTACATTGCAGTCAAAAAAAATAAACATAAATATATAAAGGACTAAGTTATAATAAGTACCTATAGCAGCTAGTATTTTATAATGTCTGATGTTTATTGAAACTAGCAAAATCGCAAAGTTCTTCAACGCTATATTTCAATTACTTGTATGTTAATTACGTACCGTTAATGGTGTTTTTCATATTTTATTATTTTACAGTCTACTTTTGGCCAGTGAGTCGTAAACCTTATCTTATTGGAAAATTAATCGACACTCGTGCCATCTGTTGGGTGATGTAATAAGCTTTTAATGCATTACATTATACCATGCTTAAAACAGATTGTACTATTCGCCACTAGTTAGCGTTACTGGGTTACCATGTCTTACTAATGTAAGTCAATATATGTACATAGGTATATGACGTACTTTTTAATCTCACAAAAAGTAATAAACCGATTTGGAAATAAAAATATGTTTTTCAGCTGTAATATTATGTTTTTCAGCTGTATTGTAAGTATTTTTTGTCCAAATAAGAAATGTAACTATAGAAAAACTATCTTGGAATATAGTTTAAAATCTTATCCACTCTATCCAAAACTATCGGACGGTCCTAACCCAAAACTTCGCCCTTACATATGTACGGACGAAACACGTGCGTTTTACGAGCGAACACTATTGGATCGACCGTGAATAGCCCAATACTTTCCGTACAATTTTTTATCCGCAGTGAAATATAGCAGAGGCCTGTGACCGAAAGTCGTTAGCGTGTTTGTTCCCAGTCTGATAATGTTTAGATTAATGTTGTATATACATCAGGTCAACTTTCATTGTCAATTTGTTGAACCAAAAAGGTTTTGTTGGTCGGGTAACGTTTTGTTAACGTGATCGATGGCGATAGTTTAATATGTTGTACGTTTTTATCACATTTACACTTATTTATGAATTAATCAAATGTTATTATAGTGTTTTTATAGAATAATAATTAAATATAATATACTATTTTGCTTTTGAATAAGGTGTGTATTAAATATGTAATGAAAATATTTTATTTAATATTGACATCTCGTCTGCCCGTGATCACGGTTGCTGTAAAGTAGCCGGAACATCGGGAGTATGTAGTTTATAGTCAAAAATGTTTTTGATTATATTAAAAACAATATGATTTATGAAATTTCGTTCAGTAAATTAATAGAATACTAAATAATAAACACTGATAACAAAAATATATTTTATTAATTATATTAAACATTCTTGTAAAAACTAACAAATGATTTTCAAAAATGTTAAAAATAATTCTTTATTCTTGGAGGGACAATATTACATTGTGTAACAAATGTAATATTTTTTTCACAATACTGAGTTACATACAAATTATTAGTCAATGTTATTACATATAAAACCTCTTTTTCTGTTCACATAAAGTATAATTAATCTTCAACATTGTATTAAATTACAAGAAATGGGTTGACAGAAAAAAATGCATTTTATGAAAATACTTTGAAATTTTAATAAACTTGTTTTAGGTGTATTTCATATAATTGTCACTATTATATATGTATATTATATTTAGTCTTTAGAAATTATTTGGACAATTGCTTTGATAATCCTGTTTCCTTTCTCGTAATGCAACAAATTCAATGAAGGATCGTTTATTTTCTCTTCCAACAAGTTGATCAGTTCCACTCGTATTGTTTTCAACATTTCAGCAACCTGAAACAATATAATATTACTAATACAAAGATTTTAATGTTATTTTTTAAACATTTTTCTGTTTAAATCATTCATTGTTTTTTTAAGTTTTACTTTTTAACTTTATTTATATATTAATCTGATAGTCCTTTTAAGTTATATATCTTAAGATCTATCTCAAAATTTTTGATCATTTCTTCACATAAAACTAAGAGTTTATGACTTTATAGGATTTTATTTATTATTTTATATATTATGGTAAATTTTCTGACTTTCTTTTAAACTTAAATTAAGATTTACCTCATGTTCTTCAACTTGAAACATGATCCATCCATCTTCCAAAGACACTATGAATGTACCGTTGTGAAGTTCCACTGACAAATTACAACCTGAGAAATTAATAAAATATTGTTATAACAATTTATAAATTAAACAATGCTAATAATAATTAGTTATAAAAATGTTTTTATAAAATTCTGTTTATATTATATTTGTAACAATTTTATATTAACCCAACATATTTCATGCAATTAATATAACGAAATGATGTTCAACAATAAATAATTTTGAAATCGTAATCAGTGGCGGCTGGTGGGTTATCGAACTGGTGGTGCACTTTACTAAAATATTAAATTAGAAAATGTAACAAAAAACCAATTGGCATAAACTATGTTTATTTATTATACATTAAATCAATGCGACAACATTTTTCTGAAGCGAAATATTCAATCAAATTTTTATTAAAATCGTATATTGTTTGTATATTTTTTTTCAATACTAAGCACAAAAAGTGCATTTTGCAAGTGCATGGTATATCGGAAAAAAGTTTTGATTCTTTTCAATTCCAATTCGTCATACATCGGGTGCTCTCGGTAATCTTCGGCCGCTCGTGCGGCGCTCGAGAACCGACTCATTACTCGGTACATTTCTATGAACGATCTTTTGTTTCGCGCGTCAGGCGTATTAATTAGTGTCTCATACAAAATGTATTAGCAGTCCTCGTGCACTCGCCGAAGCGCACGAGATATTAATGTATTAAAGCGCTCAAACTTTTTGACTATAATTAGAAATTTAATTTTTATACGTTTTTGTATGTTTAGAAAATAAATATTAAAATGGTAATTTAAAAATAAAGATGAAGTAATATTTTGTAATTTTCAAATCTTTTGAATTGGTGGTTCAGCGCACGAGTGCACTTAAGGTACAGCCGCCACTGATCGTAATGATGAATTATGTTACATTTGAATTACTAGTGAATGAATGTTATAAAAACATTTATTCATTCATTTAATGTTTCCTTTATAATAAAATTTTACGATACATATACAGAAAACCAGTAAAAATATGTACATATTTGTACTAATGTTTCCCCGCAATTCCGTCCGATTAAACAACAAGCGCCAGAAGGATATAAAAAGTCCTTTAAAACAATACATAAAGTACGTGGCAGTCCCTTCATTTTAAATTTTCATCTGTCAAACTGATGTGTGAAACTAATTACTAAATCATCTGTGACGTCACTCAAATGAATACAAAAAAAATTCAAACCAGTCCAGCCGTTTTTGAACATTTTATTTATAAAATATATTTTCTTCTACCTGGCAATTTCCCAGCTTAAGCCAGGGTCTGTATGAAATATATATTATATATAAGAAACATTACTTTACAAACCTGAAAATAACACCAACGGTAACTGCGGCACCATAGAACATTCTCTAACAAAAACCCTCGTAGTTTTAACTTTCTCTTGATAAACCAAGTAAGGGCTCGTGAAATAACCCACGGTAGAATTAACAGATGACGGATGTAGAACAACGTAACCGTCAGATTTAGTTTTGAATTTCAATTCATCGGGATTCGGCTGTCTCTGTATGGCGCCCCCTATTTGCATGTGGAATGATTTCTCTGGGGTTAAAACCTGGAAATATAAGTACTATAATCATTTTTTTAGTTAATTTTAATAATATTATGATTAAAAGTTATATTGGCCGGAATTTAATTATGTTTGATCTACATACATATACTAGATGTACAAGAAGCTGAGACCAAAAATGTTTGTTGGGTTTATTTGGCTCTTAGGATATAAACATTTTAATACTAACCATAAGTTGTATAAGAAAAAAGTGAAAATTCTTAAAATTGGTGAATATTTTTTAAGTATTTTAAATAAAAATGATATTCTCTTATAAAACTATTACTAACTTTTTAAAACTACTAGATATATAAATTGGATAAAACTATTAACATACATACAATCACTTATTTTTCATATATAATTTTCTTTTTTAATTACCTTCACAACATTAGGATACAACGCAGCACACAATATAGCAGCTAGAAGTTTATCATTCGTTCCATTACAGTTTAACTGAAATCAAAATTAGTTATTACATTTTGAGTTCAAATACACATATATTTAAGGTATATATTAGTTTGTTCTTCATAATAAGTCCTTGATAATGCTTGGTTTTATCTTGTTTACCTCTTCACCAGTGAGAGCTTGGACGGAATCTTTATACATTTTTTTCCTCAAGCCCGGCATGTCTGGTACGAAGCCTATCGACGCGAGCAGACCAAGCAACTGGTGCTTGATATCAGCTAACATTACAAGCGTCTTGTGTGATAAGAAGTTCTCGTTAGCGAATACCAGAGCTGAGTGTGTGCTTTGTTTGAGTGCTTGTTGCCATTTCTGAAAAATATATTTTATAGAATAAAAATTATTACTATTATTAACTCTGACAAATACTTATTTGGTTCTATCAAATATTAAACTCGATAAAAATAAGAGAAATCAGTTAATATACGTTTATAAATTGCACAAAAAAATATTTATTAAAAAATATGTATCACTATTATTAACTTAGACAAATAATTGGTTGTTGTTATCAAAAATTAAACTGGATAAAATAAGTCGAATCAGTTAATATATGTATACAAATAATATAACATACTCTATAAGCCCTCAATGTTGTCAGCTGATCGCTGTTAGAACACGCGAATTCTCTCCTCTTTGCATCAGCTTCTGACTGCAAACAAAAATGTTTCTTAATATAAACTATAATTTACTTATAATAATTAGTATTTGTTAAGCATTACTGAAAATGTGTAATATATAATTTCCATAGTCCGTATTAACAACAAAATATAACCTAATTTTGCCAACGAAAATAAATTATTGAATATCTAACGCGAAGTAAAAAATCTAACTTTGTTAGTTTTTGTCTACATAATATAAATGCTGTATTGAAAAAATACCTTTTTCCCAAACGGCGCCAAGAACGGGCTTTTATGACTCAAAAATGCTGCCATAGTCAACGCTGAATCAACACAGCAGAAAATAGCACCAAATAACATAAGTTTTCCAATCCTAACATCCACTGGCAGAGCAGCCAGGTGCTTGCCAAGAGCCGTTAGAGCATACATTTTGTCTAACGCCCCTACATCTTGCAATCTTATTAGCGCACCATCTATGTTAGATTTTAATGGGGGTTCAATTGTTTTACCTGGAAATAATAATTTTCAACATTAATCATATATCATCCCTACTAATATTATAGATGCGAAAGTAACTCTCTCTGTCTGTTACGCTTTCACGCCTAAACCACTGAACTGATTTTAATGATATTTGGTACAAAGATAGAGTAGACCTTGAGAAAGAACATAGGATAGTTTTTATCCCAGACTTTTGAAAGGTTCTCTTGGAAACGCGATATAACCGAACTCTAAGCGAAAGCTAGTAGGATAATATTTATTATAACTAAAGATTTATCTCTTTGAATTGAATAATGTTAATAAAGGTTCAAGCTTAGTTTTTCCATATAACCAAGCACTCACCAAGCACCTCATGAACACCCATATTCTGGAACAGCGGTAATATCTTCAATTTCAGCACCAGTTGTTCTAACGGTACTCTATGTATTTCCGGAACCGGTTGTTCTGAGAGATGATAGTTGTATCTGTGTGATGTGAACAAGTGAATACAAACTCCGGCCATCACACGACCGGCGCGACCTTTCCTTTGTTTAGCGTTGGCTCGAGACACCCACACTAGGTCAAGAGATTCCATATTGCGGTTGGAGTCGAAACTGGAATTTTAATGGAATTTAATTAGATTATCAGGAATTTATTTATTTAGGCACACAAACAGAATATAATCCGGATTACATATGAGTTACAGTCTAAAATTATTTTTAGCTTGATTACATTCCTAAGTATGTGTACACGGCATAATTAAGGAATTTTCTAGATTTTATTTAATATTCATTTATAAAGCATTATAAAGCAAATTATTTGTAATGTGATTTAATGCTGTACTGTAATTTAATGGAATTTATCCATGTTATACATACATAAAGCATATTAATTAAGTATTCAAGCAATTTCATGATGTGTTTGAAATCGAATATGTTATTTAATGGAATCCTACTAATATTATAATTGCAAAGTTTGTGAGTGTGTGTGTTTTTTACTTCTTCATGCTCAAACGGTTGAACGGATTTTGATAAACTTTTGTATGCAGGAAGCTGACGTCCAGGAATAACATATAGGCCACTTTACATTCCGAAAATCCGCGGGTAACACACATCCATAAAGACCATTGTTTGGATAAATTTTAGTACCGTTTTTCCTTCATTCTTCCACAGTCGATAACAAACACACAGTCGTCTATAGTAACGGATGTTTCCGCTATGTTAGTTGATAGTACTATCTTCCTAGCTCCATCTCTCGGCTTTTGGAAAACCATGGACTGTTCTTCGCTTGTTAATGTCGAGTGGAGAGGAATTATTTTGTATTTGCCCGTTCTGAAAATTATTATTATAAAATTAAACAGAGTGTCATTTTAGTGTCTTTGTTAATGAGTTTTTAATTGAATTTCTTTAGTCTCTTATATTATATATTAAAAAACACGTTATTTTAACTTTTTATAACTTGCAACAGAGCCAACTTGTGGAATTCATGTATGTAGAACAATTCATTACTAAAAGATGACCCAAGTATTTTATGTAGGTGAAAATTTTCTTTATAATTGATTCACATTTTCTTTAGCTTCATTGAAACTAAATTCTTAATTTATTTATTTAATTTATAATAATATACTCACTTCGGACTGAATGTATGACTGTCAACCAATTGATCATATAACGACATTATTTCACCTATACCAGGCAGAAATATCAAAATAGCGCCCTCTGTCGGCCACGAATGATGCCCAGAGACGATGTATGTTAGAACATGCTCTATGAGTTCCAAATTTATCTAAAATACATAAAAGTCATGAAAATTAAGGTAAAAGAAATCTTATTTCTATGATATTCTGTTTGATTGTTGTAGATCCTCAATGTAATTACACATTTGAGAATATTTTTTAATGTTTAATTGTAATATAAATATGAAAAAATTTTAGAAATATTTTTATTTTAATATGTTATTTCAAATATGTATTATTGGTATAAGTTATTTCTGAAAACTATAAATTGTAAGCATGTAATGTAATTAATAGTTAGGAAAATACATTTTATGTGAGATTTGACTATGCATCGCTGCTTTTGATCTCATGTTTAAGTTATTAGTCCTACAGATTTTTTTTTCATAGTGTACTAAACATAAAAATTTAATTTTAAATGAAACATTATTACATTATTATATTGAAGATTATCTACCATCTTTCACAAATCAATAGTAAAATTCTTTTAATTGTTGCTTAAGTAGTATATTCTAACCTTTTCAGTATCCATAAGATATAAATTCTTACACGCTTTTTTACTCAGTTTGGGATATCTTGCTACGATCTGTGATATCGTTAGGTTTTCGTCACGAATCACTATTTTCGGTGGTTCAGTGGATTCTGACTTAACATCGCAGGCTTCTAATTCGGTTTCGAAATCAAATTTTTTATCCTTGTCACCTGTGAATGAGACATATATTAAAAATTTCATTTTAGGTGCCAGGAAAAAATAAATGTTACAGTTTGTCTTCTATTATAGGAGATAATTATTTTTAAATACCTTTCTTAATTTTACGAGCAAAAGGTCCATTCTCCTCCATTATATAATCTGTCATGTCCAAAATGTCATCCAAAAAGTATTGTTCCACAGGAAAAGTTCTGCCTAAAACAAAAATAATTTTTATTCGCCATTACCGCTAGTATATAAAAATACTATTATTTGCCTTTCAATAATTTAAAAACGAATCTATCTATATTTGTTTTTTATACAGGGTGACTGGTGAATTACTATCAATATTTAAGGAGCATACTCGGTACATGATTCTCATTCGAATTATGTAAAAAAAATAGGTACTTAATTTTTGACCAAATTTCCGTATAAATAAATAAAGTGTGTACACGTTCCAAGTGTGAACGCGTGCGGCGGCGTGCTGATACAACAACACGCCGCCGCGCGCGAGTGTGTGTGTGTGTGTGTATACCTAATCTGTAGGGTGTTCATACGATGCGTAATTAATTACATAACTTTTGGTTAACTTTACTTAGAAGTTTATTAATATTTATGTTATATTAATTTTTATTTTGTCATATATGACCGTCAATTATCACGTCCTCAAATATCGATAGTAATTCACCAGTCACCCTGTATAATATACATAAATATATTACTAAATTATTTCTCATAAAATTTTAAACTTTTATTGTAAATAAGAAAGAAAATCTGAGCATTATTCATTACCAGGGATCTCCAAAACTGGAACCTTGTCAAAATAATCCGAGAACAGCTCCGCATTCAATGTCGCACTCATCAATATGACCCTCAAGTCCTTCCTAACTTTGATAAGGTCCCTCAATATTAACAAGAGGAAATCGCTTTCTTCAGACCTCTCATGGACCTCGTCAACTATGATGTGAGTTATTGATTTTAACTGTGGATCGTATTCCAATCTTCTCAGTAATATACCCGTAGTGCAGAATGTTAGACGGGTTTTCGATGAGATCTTATTTTCTAAACGTATCTAAAAATTAAAATATATTTATACATTACGCTATATAAAATTTAGTAATAAATTGACTTGATAATTTATTTTAACTGTATTTGTTGAAAATATCATAAATTTTAAGATTCAAATATTATCCTACTAATATTATAATTGCGAAAGTTTGTGAGTGTGTGTGTATGTTTGTTACTTCTTCACGCTCAAACGGCTGAACCGATTTTGATAAAATTTTGTATACAGGAAGCTGACGTCCAGGAATAACACATAGGCTACTTTACATCCCGGAAATCCGCGGGTAACACCGCGGGGCGCAGCTAGTATTTATATATTTTACACAATATTTGATGTGTTTAATATAGCAAACAATTTTAATATGCACAGATTGTTATTAAATTGTTACTTATTAATATTTTATGAACATAAAAAATATAAATAAAACGAATTCTATTACACTGTTACATCTATGATTAAAGTTCATATTTGAAAATCATGTCTACTTCAAACATTCTTAGTTTCTGATGAAAAAACTTTTCTAAATAGAACCATCACAATAGATTCATATTGGTAATCAAACGTTGTTGAAATATTTATGTTTCTATGTATGACACTTAAAATCTAGTATATCAGATAAGTATTACTCACAAGTGACCATTATTATATTGGATGACTATAATGTTAATAATAATATACATACTACTTTCATTATACTGAAATAATATAATTTCAACAGAGAGTTGATAGAATTCATTTACAATTAAAATTCTCAATATAATTATATTGCAACATATGTGTTTAGCTCAAATTAATGTCATACATTATATTTTAATAAATAAATATAGCATAATTATATTTTATATCAAAACATATCCTACTTAATATTATAATTGCGAAAGTTTGTGAGCGTGTGTGTATGTTTGTTACTTCTTCACGCTCAAACGGCTGAAGCGTTTTTGATAAAATTTTGTATACAGGAAGCTTACGTCCAGAAATAACACATAGGCTACTTTACAACCCGGAAATCCGCGGGTAACACCACGGAACGCAGCTAGTATAATTATATAAATAACTCTACCTGATAACCAACAATTTGTCCAGTCTTTTCGATTCTCTCTTCAGAAACTCTGTCAGCCACACCTATAGCTGATATTCGTCTCGGTTGTGTACAAACTATCTCTACGTGGTTTCCTTCATAATTTTCAAGCCAATTGTCCAAAATGTATTGTGGTACTTGAGTACTTTTACCGCAACCTGTCTCACCGCTGATTACTATTACCTGAGGGTAAAATTTAATTATACCTTTATTATGTTTTAGATTGATTTATGTATATTTTTGAATATCGAGTAATTATAGACGTGAATATCAATTTTGAGTGTAGTTTTATTGAATTTTAGACAATAAATGCTTCTTGAATGAATTTTCACTTTCACATTTTAAATTACTTAGAAAAGCTTGCCTTGTAACATATACCTAAACACACATACACCTACACATACTTATACGTATATAGTAAAGTAACAAAGTCAAGTTATATGTATAAATTACTTTGAATAATACAAAAACAAACCTGAGACTTTTCCATAGCTTGTAATATTTCTTTTCTCTTTTGCCATGCCGGGAGTTTTCTTCTTGAGGACATCATTTTATTATATCTATTATTGTCACTTTTTTCCATAAAACGTTTTGCTATTTCATTATTATCTTTGAGCAATTCATCAAAATTTACATTTTGTCTATGATCCTTTGAATCTCCTTTTTTATAATGTGTTGGTTTATTTTGGCTATCGGAATTATTACCTTCTATTAGTTGAGGGAACAACATATCCGATGCCTGGGGAAATTGTCTAGTGTCAAATTTAATAAAATTAACTATATCATCTTCATTATTAAGTAATTCAACTAGAGAGTATACACTGGGTATGCCATCAAGGGCTAATGTTTTGGCTTCATCATACAATCTGGCAGCTATTTTGAGACAAGTATTTGTTGGTATTAAATTTGAACTGCTATTAGCTTTGATAAACAACATCGGTGATTCATATGGATAATATGTATCTTCTGGGAAACGTATTTCTAATTCGTAAGTAACAGATTCCTTTTCTACTTCCTCTAACTTTTCGTCGTCTTTAGCTTCGTGTGTAAATTTACATTTCGCGCCAAATCTACAATTACCGTTAAGGAACAGTCTGCATAATTCTTTCTTTTTCGTTTTGAAATTTGTATTATAATTAATATTTTCTTTCTTTTTCTTTACTTTGTCAGCTGCATACATTTTCGTTACGTAATCCAAATTGACATCAACTGTCCATACATTTGTATCTCTAACTCTGAAACTATTCTCATATATAGATTCCAGTACAGCTTTTTCGTCATTCCTCATATCCAACAATTCAGATTTTGGTGGATAATTTTCTATATTTTCTAATGTTGTAAAATTATAATACTTTTTAAATAGAATTTCTAAAGCCTTTTCGACGTTTTCAGCTGCATTTTCTAAAGCCTCTGCACAATGAGCTTTGTGGAAACAGTACCTGTAAAATTTATTAGAAATATTACACCCCATAAAATGGCATTAAAATTATAGGACCTCACTCCTAATGTATCATACATACTTTTCCAATTTAGCCAAAGCAAATTCCCTCAACCTGACTTCAGATGATTTCATATCTGGTTGTGATTGTATGGAATAGTCACAACCACCACGCACTATAAGGTTGCCTCGCTCCAACCAATATTGTTTACTGAAATTTGTACCCTTATCCTGGAATCAAGTACAAACAAAAGAACATTATTTTTGAAAAATACCACAATTTATACATACTTTGCTTATTTAGAGCATTTTAACAATAAATAAGTGAATACTGTAATTAATACATATCATTACTCTATACAAAATTGTTAAAAGAAGGTTTAACAGAGACATACCATTATTAAAATAAGCTGCCATCATAATGTAACAAATATTTAGTAATCATTTATAAATATTTTTTGCTTGCATATCAAGTAAAATATTAATTGATCTTTTTGACCATTCAAATCTCAGATATTGAACTGTTATAAGTACTCTAACTTTGAATTATATCCTCTTTAAATGAAATTATAACTTTATTTTATTTTTATTGATTATATACTTCATATATAATTACCTTGTAAAGGCTGGCACTATTCAATTTGAAATCAGGGCCGTGTATAAAACGCAATGTATCCAATACAAGCTTCTGCGAGTCAGGATTCAACCGAATAGTTTGCATTTCAACCTTCAGTTTTGGATGATGTTCTTCTACTTCTTCTACGGGTTTTCTTAAGGTTTAGGAAATGTTAATATAACTTTAACTACATCTTAACTAAGTTGTTATGTATGTGCATCATTTAAGGTTATGGTGAGTGATATTCTTGCATCATAATTAAATTTAACTTGCTTTGATCTATGATTTAAAAAAATATATTATTTGAATAAGATTATATTTTAGCAAATAACTAAGGGAAGGCGATATACAACATATTATTTTAAAATATGTATATAGAAAATTAACATTTTATAATTAAAAAATAGATTTGTCAAAAAATGTATACAATAATATTAAACCTTATTCGAGCGTCTACTGGGACCCGAAGAAAGAGATCTTCAGCCAATTGTTTGCTGTTGTAATCCATTTTTTTTATAAAGTAATAAACCTAAAAATTAAGGAGGTGAATTTCAACTAGAAACGAAGTGACCAGCTGTGAAATGAATAGCCTTAAAACGTCAATGTCAAGTGTCAATTGACATACACAACTTGAATTTTTTACCTACTCTCTATAGAAGACAAAGAACAGTCGTCCATTCAGCCAAATTCAAAATAGTAAATAACTTTTTATTATTATCTATACTTCAATTTAAGTTATAAATAGAGTAGTCTTTAATATTTAATGTAATTTCTAATCTTTACAGTGTATTAGCTTAATTTAAAAGATTTTAATTTAAATCTACAAGTATTTAATGTCTATGTTCAAATATTTGTTATGAACTAATTGAATAATTTCATCATGTTATTAATAAGTTCCACTTCTTTTATAAATTAACAGTTCTTAAAATCAAACAAGTTTTTGAGCATTTCATTCAAGTCCCAATTCTTTAAAAGTTATATCTCTATATTTTAAGAATTATTTCATCTATCAAATCATCTTTTAATTAATCTTCACTCACCAATATTTCTTTTTCCTAATCATCAACTATAAAACACCAATGTTTATTTCGAAGACGAACATTTGTTATATTTTTTTTATCACTTTGGTATCAATGTCACCTGGACCCCGATGACAGTTATTTTGAACTTTGATATAACGACTATAACGATTTATATTCATCCGTTTTTAGTGACTTGTCTACTGAAAACAAGTGTGATGCAGTTGATTGAGAATTCAACTGCAGTTAAATTACTTGCTAATAGATCACATTTCATAAAAACATCACTTATTTCTAATGACATCAATCTAAGCCACACAATGAGTATTTGCTATGGATTATGAATAGGTGCTCTTATACTCAGTAATATGGTGTTAAAAAGCCTTGAAAAAAAAAGATAGATTTTCTTTTACATAGAACCCCCCAATCTTACACATTATATCTTAACCTTACTCTATAGGTGGTAGAGCCTAGCTGTGGTCAGTTACTATAGCTCGAACATGGGCTGGCTCGACCGGGGAAGTACCACCCTCTCACAGAAGATCCTTAGTGGCTGCGTTTCGTCCAATGGGAGAGAAAGCCGGTTGCCTTTTCCCTATTCCTACCATTTCCTTATTCCCACCAATCCTTATCCCTAAAAAACAAGGTTGTCAACGCATCCGCAACAAAGATGTTGCGGATGTCCATGGGCGGCGCTAACCACCTTCCATCAAGTGGGCCGTCTGTTCGTTTTGCCACCTTTCACATAAAAAAATATATATGTCTAAGCTTATAAATAAATGAGTGTATTTCATATAATAGTTAAAGATTTCATAATTGAGGTTAAATTTGAATTGAATTTGAATAAAGTTTCTTGAAGTACTTGACTATCCTCCATAGATATTATTAATTTGCAAAGATTACACTTTTAACTCTTAAAAGTAGGTACGTCTAAATAACTCCGAAACCCGAATAAAATTTCTCTCCGATTTTTTTAAAACTTGGTTTGGTTTTGCAGAGACAAAAAAAATTTGTTAGAAATTGCCACAAAGAAATATTACTATTAGTAAAGATTTACTTCTTACGTTATAGTTTAATTGTTAATATTTAAAACACTGGCAACTTAAATTTTTTATCGATAATTGAATTCTAATGTCAGATAAATGATATGAAATGTAGGCAGATTTTTAATTTTAAGTTTAAAAATTTATATTAGCATATACCCTGGATGAAATAAAAAAAAATTAACTAGGAAGAATTTTCCATTAGAGTTGCAATAAATTTTTAATATAAGTATCTCTTAAAATTAATAATCATGATTTTATTTTGATAATGCTATACAAGCAATTAAGGAAGAAAGACACTTAATGAATTTATAGTGTCAATATACCGTGACGGCCAGTTTTGTTATGATTGCCTAATGCCCCATAATTAAGGCCAAAATGGGATTTCGTTAATAAGAGAGATAATCTCATTACTTTTATACACTATTTGTTTTCATCAGTTTTTGCTCAGGTTGTTTCATATCAGCACGGAATAGCAACAAAAGCATCTAATTTTAGGTAGATATGAATATAAGAAATGTTTTCAAAGCAAGAAATCTATTGGAATATCGTCTATTCTATGAAACTTATTTGTTTTAAAGTACTTTTTCCGGAAACAAAGTATTTAATCTTTTCATTTATGATAGTAATAAATTTGTTTTAGAAGTCATTTATCATATACATATTTCATGTGTTGTTTATTATATTTGTTCAAAATATAAAACATCTATATGGAATATATAATCTATATAAAATATTTATTTAAAATATGAAAGGATATATTATTTTGAGGAAAAAGAGTTTATAATTTTTCAATATATTATATGACGTTATCAGGTCAGTTTAATATAATTCTCCAGACGTGGTCATTTAACGTGTAAAAGGCATCTAAATGCGCTTGCCTGTCATACATACATGGACAAACGTGTTATCGATTTCCTCTTTGTAAATCGGAAGCAATATGACAAAAATATTACCTTCAAAGGAAATTAGAATTCCAAAGACATTTCGTCAAAACTTACAAATGAAATTCGCATATAAAGAACAATGCAAGGAAGATATGTTTTGACTGTTAAAGATCTTAATATATGACAGGTTCATGTATTAGCCTTTCTTGGTTTCAGACATATCAAGCAAACTAGGTACATTAACCTTCAAAGATATATGCGAGTGACGTCCCATGGCTTCGAACGGGCTTTCTCGCTAATTCCTTAATCCAATTTATAGCGGAGATTAGATGGAAACTTGTAAATATTTGTAAATCGTGACAAATGACGAACGTATGAAAGGCGTCTCAAGGATTTCGGCGGAGCCTCTGATATTCATTAACACAGGGAGGGTGCAAGATTGAATTATTGGTTAAAGAGATTAGGACTATGACAATAACAAGCCATCAAATTAAACGCAGCGAAATAAATAGAAAAGTTAACTATACTAATACCAAAAAGGTTAAAGTTATCCTAACAGAGCCAGTATTGCCAGCATAGGCCCTTCCATCAGTTAAAAAAACACTAAAAAATCATTCAGTTTATGTCCAACAGTTTCATATTAAAATATCAGATTTTTTATATGATACATGAGTCACTCTGATTATCTTAATGCCTACCTTAACAGATATGTAAAAATTATATGAAAAATAAATAAGGTCTTAAGAGACGCGACAACATAAATATGTGTAATTGGATATCTTACTAAAAAACAAATGTATTTTTCCTTACTATGAAATACAGGTATAATAATAGATCTAGGAATAAATTAATTTGTGAGGTATTTTATAATTCAAGACTGTGTGAATCCAAATTTATATACAAGTATTAGAACCGTTTTTTTATTCTTTTAAATGGCAATAGAGAATACTTTAAGCGTATCCCTCACAGTCATTAGATATTTACCGACATATAGGATCAAGTTGTTAGTAAATAACATGAAGGAAAATGTTCTGAATAGATAAGACGGTACTTTTATATTAAGTAACTTCTTGTACATAGTTACTACTACATATAATAAAGGCATAGCCATAGGTGTATAAATCTGTATTTATGGACGTATTATTCTGTACACTATTGTATTAGATTCCGTATGAGGCGAGAAACTAATCCTTATTAAATATTTTTGCCCGTGTCTCCGATAGTCCACATATTAAGAAGTTTCTTAAAAGAAAACGGAGATAATAAAGAAAATGTAAAAATACTTATCTACACAATCTAGATTTAAGGATTTTATGTTCCGTTTATGGACCATAATTTAAAAACTATCAAATTGTAATCGAATAGTTTGGAGCTAATTACGAATAAGTGACCAACTACAAGACACAGTTAATGCAAATCTATTAAATCTTCACGCTTTCCAAAAAAAATGTGTTCGTACCAGTTAACGCGATTAATTAGGTAATCAAAACGTATAAAAAAATAAATATTAGGAGTCCATAAGTAAAAAGCATAATAAGGAAACAGCAATACCTTTCTTTCACCAATTTTTTATGCTTTTTCTTATGTCAGAAAAAACATCACTCTCGCATTTGGTGGAACCATTGAACTGAATGCGGAATTAAGATATCCTTGGTACTTTACTTTTGGTGTCTAATTTACCATCAACATTAACATTTATTAAAAGTAGACAGTAATCATTAAGATAAGATTGAAATCTTATGTTTGCGTTGCTCTATATGCGTTTTGGCATTTTTTAAAGAAGCGCTGACTGCCTTATAATTCCAATGCTTTTTCTATTGGATTTTCTTTGAGTCATTTTTAATATATTATGTATACTGGTAATCTTAAATCACAAAATTACTTTTATTAAGGAATTAAGTTTATATTTGATTTGAACTTAGGTATTTTCTTAAAACATTGAAACTATCTACTCTCCTTGTATATAGTACACCATGACATATTTTGCTTTACACCTTCATTATAGTAATATAGTGTGAAAACATCCTTGGATTGTTTAAATTCTTTTCACCCGTATGTATCTTGAGTCAATTGCTGTATAATCAGTTATCAATATTACAAGTACTGAAATCATGAGAAGAAACAGCGATCATTATTTTTTAGAATACTTATAAATATGTTAAAGTTTTAGACTAATCTAAAAAGGCTGCAGAGTTTGTTTATTTGTTTATTTGAACGCGCTAATCTCAGCAACTACTGGTCTGACTTGAAAATTTTTTTTAGTATTCGCTAGTTCATTTATTGAGGAAGGCCTAGTATTTGTAGTAATAATTTATTTTCAAAAAATTAGAGATATGTAGGAAAGTTGCTACTTTGTAACTCAAGGGACTTAATCGAAAATCAATTTTTGCGTGCTCCGCAATAACTATTGACGATACAAACAAATAATGTGTTTCGGGTTTTTAGGTCTTATTAAAATTTAAAAAAAGTCCGGGAAAGCATAGGCTTTTGCATAGGTATAATCCTAATTGCCATAGTTTAGGCACAATATCCACTTTTGTATTAAAAGAAATTATTAAATCCTTAATAATATAGTAATATTAATCCTTATTCAAATTCAGCATGATATTATCAAGGAAATTAATATAGAAGTAAAATACTTTCTTTTTCATCCCAATCGGACATTACGTTTAGAAATTAATACAAGTATCAGACTCTTATAATTGGTACCTATTAATGAATTATTTGGCAAAAAGTTTTATCAACATAATTATACGTTAATTATATGTTAAGGTCTTAGTGTTATTCCATTACGTTATCACACCAAAATTTTGGTATACAGATAGATGGAACCCTGAAAAAAGACATGGGCTTTTATCCCGATCCCAATGCATAAAACAACATGGGTAAAAAAAAGAGTACAATTCGGATTTAGTCGCCATAGTGGCAGAATACAACTCTGAGTTAGACGCGATTGGAGTCTCGGGCAAAAGCTAGTTAATTTTGAAATTAAATTTAAAGACGTTTATATTGTTATATTTATAGCTGCTTTGATTTTTGTTTGAAGTACAGATATCAGAATACATACACTTTTATACCCGATGATTTCGTGAGAAACAGATTTTCAACAGCGCTTCAAAACTCTATAGTTAGTTACTAATGGATTCTATTAAATACGACATCAATAAAAAAATAAAACTAAAAAATGAAAACAAAAAGACATAAAAAGAAAATAGTGTGTTTTAATTAGTATGATCATTAAATTTTATCTTATCAACGGTGTAGATAAAAAATAATTTTATAACCTGATCTTACTTTTTATGTCATAATATATAGACAAATAGCGAAAAAAACATTAAGAACTTAAGATCTTTATGGTTGCAACTTTTCAGAGAAAGATTTTAAAATTAAATACATATTGCAATAACAAAATAAATATGTCAATTTTAAAACAATCTCGACAAACGTTTTCGATCGCGAAATATTTACCAATTAGGTATAGACACCATATTTTATGCATAAGATTAATCGTTGTGCTTAAACTATTGAGGAAAAATTTGTATTTTCAAAGCATTTTACTCACTCGTAAAAATAAATATATTTATCTAAAGTAATGTATATAAATTAAAGATTCAACTGTTATATCAGGCTTCTACGTTAAGTGATAAGCAGACAAATTATAATCACTTGAAATTATTTTAGTGTCTAATAAAAATATTCGAGTGCTGACGTCGATGTGTGTGTTCAATAAAAATGACAAATTTAAAGTTTGTGCTATAATTCTTATATACAAATATATGTATGGTTTTACTTTGTTATTAGAATTTATTGTTGTATGTGGCTTAGATTTGGAAAATATATAAGGAACATATAAGTATTTTATCTATATAAAGGGTTTTTATTATTCAACCTAAATTCAGTAACAATTTTTATATAATTATAATAATACATATCTTAATAGTATGTTTGTGTAACACTAAATCAAATTTTCACTAAGAAAACGTGTAAGGAAAAATGTGCGATTATGTGAACGCATCTTGGTTAGAAAAACCTTTAAACACTTCCTTAAAACAAGAAGGACGACCGATAAATTTAAACACATAACAAACTAAACTACACAAAATTTTACTTCATTTTATTTGTATTTTTGGGCAAAACATTTTGTTTTTTTGTCATACAACAACAGAGTATAAATATAGTTCATTTCTATTTAAACAATATTAATCTGGAGCTTATAAAACTAATCGCTTACACATTACGTAAAACGAGTTTAAACTTGGTAGATTTTGCTATCAGGAGAGGAATGATGTAACTCATCTCACATAGACGACCATTATCAGACACAGAATCCTTTTAATCTTCTATGGTAAACGGAAATCTTTCACTCGCACCTTACTATCACGCCGCTAGCGATATTCGTCTTTATATGTGTAATATTGGCAATAACCTTACATATTATCCTTTACGAGTTAATGCGAGTTGCCAGTGAAACATTTAGAGCTGTACGTATAAAAAACGACGTATTTGCGACCGCACGCGACTCTTAGGCGCGCGCGCCGGGAAAATCATTCGATCGCATCTACCGTTCAAGTCGAACGTCAACCAATCGGGCAGACTCATCTATGATTTGGGATATTTTTTACCAATCGAATGGCATAATTTAAAAATGTTTGACATGTGTGTTTGTGTAAATTAATTCGTCATCAATGTTCGCCTCGGGAGCCGGTGCTATACGTTATTTCGATTCAAAATGTGGTCAGGTGTTAGAAAATTTTCACGGACACTTATCTGAGGACTAGAAAATGTTGATATATATTAAAACGTTACGGACAATGCTGTGATCTGAAGAGTGATAGTCGTGTATTGAACCTTTAACATTTTGATTTGAAAATATTTTCAATATAATCTATCAAGATGATGTCCAAAAAGCAATTGGCCTGCATGTTGGCGCTGCATATAGTGTATTTGCTGGTCGGTGCCAGTATATTTTACCACATAGAGAGTCCCTTGGAACTAGCACAGAGAGCGGAGGAGAAGTTAGAACGATTAGAGATTCAAAGTTAGTATATTTATATATTAAAAACACGTAAGTAGAAAATAATAAAGGGTTACTTTCATCTTGAACACCGAAATTGTTCGATTAAGCAATTTTCTTTATAAATTTTATATCATAAATAAATTTGTTAACAATATTTATAAAATTTTATTGATTTAAATTTAAAACATATGCGAATTTATTAAATTAAACGTAATGGACTAACCTTGCATTCAGATAAGTGAATAAATGCAGTTTTCATTACTAACACTCCACTAGTGATTGAACGTTTATCGATCCACTTAAAGGATTGCCGGTATAGTGATGTGACTATCATACCTGTCATGGAACTCTGTAAAATATATTCATTACCAAACATAAATGACATAAAAATAAAATAATCCATAAAAAATATATGGAAGAAATTTCGTAAGGTAGAAGAATCAGTTTCTTAAAATTTTCGATTATGAACACCTTGCAATTCCAATGCATTTGGACTATTCATTAAACTATACTTCACGATCTAGAAACTTTTGAGGAACAGAATTCAAATGTATTTTTTTTATTAATTCATTTAATTAATTAATAACGATATTAGCAATTGAGTTTATATTTAATTACAGTGAACAATATTAACGTAAAGTGTATATTATATATGATGATTTCATTTTAATCCTTTTTCCAAAAAATCTTATTACAATTCCAATTAATAAGAATCACTATCGTCTTATGTTACTATATTTTCGCAAGTGCTGTTAGTATATGTATATATTTAAAATTTCATAACATAAAGTATATATAATAAAAAATACGCACATTTTGATATTTACTAAATAAAATAAACTTTTAATATTATACTATTACTTAAAATAAAAGAAGACATATTTTACACGCAAAACCTATTTATATTAATGTAAACTTTTTTACAACTTTCATATCAGAATCAATTAAACTCATAGAAATATTACGATTTACATATCACTTAGTTGTGAAAAAGAATATAGTATTATATCTACAATATATTAAATAATAATGAATATACATATATAATCAATTTATATCAATAATGAAAAAATAATGAGACAATAGTATCTAAATAGTCTTCAATATCCTGAGGACTTTTCCTCTTCAACAATTTATGTTCTTATTGTGAAACGCATACTAATTGTTATAATTATGTTTGTCTTTCTTATAAAATGTCAATACTTATTGTTGCTTGACATTTGTTTTGTTTTTATATATGTGACGTGTGAATCGTGATTTGATTTTTCAGTCACGCGTAATCTTATTGTGTATAGATAAATTCTAAGAAATACTAAATTGTATATACATAAAAAGATAATGAGTCTCTAAAAATCTACTAAGGATTATGCTTTCAACGACGAATATTTTGGTAAATGGATTAATTTTAAGATACTTAAAATTTACACCAAACGTTATCAAAATTAATCCCAAAATTTTATTATGAATGGAAATAAAGTAACATATAAACATAAGATAGATATTTAAAGTAAAGATCCTATTTGTTTGTCCTTAAAATATTAATTCGATATAATTTTACCACTGAATGTAATTAAATCACTCAATACATATAATTTTCAACAAATTTCTACTCGTCTTCATTGTATAGGAGTACATTTTTCCACGGTCCTTGATAAAAACTGTAATTGTCAATAGACGTCACTTAATCCTTAGTTATAAAATTATCTCCATATTAAATTATCTTAGTAACATCCGTATCTGTTGAATATTAATACTTTCACAGGAATATTTTCATGGCTTACCTAATTACAAGAAAAATTTTTGAAACCGTTCTTGTAAAGACCTAGTAGAGAACTTAATTTGGATTCTATTACATACTTCCTAAAGATCAAATTCTTTATAATATTATTATTTTCAAGTTTCAACTAATTACTTAGATATAATTAATTTTCAATAGAAATTACAGACTAATGCAATGAATAAGTTGAAATGATAATCTACATTATATAAAATTGTTCATTGATTTAAATCTAAATGGATCATTGAAACAAACCAATATTAGTTATTACCAATAAAGTTTTAGTTATAAATTCCACAAAATTTATTTGGTGACAAAAATACATGTACATATATATCTACGTATATCAAATCGTATATATAAATAATACTTCATTTCGTTTCCAATTTGTATACATATCAAGTCATGTTTCTTTTGAACAACATAATTGATTCGGGTCATTACAATTTCGAAACCAAGATATATAATAAGATCAATAAATCCCGTCGGAAGATTACCATACAGTGTACTCGTAATAAAATATAATGAGTTTTACACTCGTCTTAAAATAAAATATTTTTAATCTCAAAACATAAGTTTAAAACATATTCTCGGTCTAGTTTCAAGTCCGTGAACTCAATTATACTTATGTGAAACTTGAAAGCCATATGTTAATGCAAATCGAGTGTGTATTCTATCGGTATATATTAATTAAAATGATACGTTATAATATACACAACTGTATAAAATGGAGTAATTTATGAATGAATATATACATTTAGTACCTTTCTGTACCTTTTTGTAATTTGGTATAGTTATGGAATATGTACCCTATGATATATTAAGTCAGTGGTGGCCTAGTGGTTAAAAGGCCCGCCTCTCATTCTCGAGAGCGCGTGTTCGTTCCTGGCAAGTACCAATATGAATTTTCCGAGTCTAAGAGTATTAAGACATCACTGATTAATGCATTCCCAAAGAGGGTTGATGTCAGGCAGGCGGCCGGTCGTAAATCAATTATCCAAAACTATTCATAACATGTAAGGCAGACCCTGGCTAAAGCTGGGAAATTGCTAGGTAGAAGAAGAAGATATAAAGACAAAAGTTTGTCTCTCTTCGAATACAGGTATAATAAAATAATTAAACCAATAGTAAAACTAATGGCGACGCATTCCATAACATCTAAACAACAGAAAAACACCTAATTAGGTAATTACTGACGAATTGCAGTTTAAATATACAAAGACATGTGCAAAATATTATTCTAAACAAGCAAGCAAATGCCGTGTAATATAGGAAATAGATATTTTAACTGTTTTCATGTCCTAACAAGAAACATGGAGTTAAACGCCTCATCTTAATACCTCATATTTCAAAAGAAACCCTAAATATCTTGAACCATTCAACTCAATATTTGATATTAATAGATTTAAAACTAGTATAGAGAAATTTCTGGAAATAAAAAGTAATAAAATTTGATAGCTTAAAAAATATATCGTTATTGGAAATTGGAATTGGTCGAATAATTTTATTATAGCAAATAAATAAGTATGGAATAATTTTAATATTAAGTTATGTATATTATACAGAGAAGTTCTTTCGATTTATATGAATATTATTTTTCATAACAATATAAAATTCTCCAAGGAAAATTATTTTAAAAAATTACGTCAATTTCTTGACCGTTATAGCAACCAAACCGTACTGATATATTATAATTTTAAAATGGTCATGGAAGGTAAGAAACCAAATGTATCGACGTGAGAATTTATTTAAAATTATTTATAAGACACAAGTTTTGTAATATTTAAATTTCTTATAAAACAAACAGTTTATAATAAAGTAATGTCGTTGAAAAATTGGATATCTAAAAGCTTATAGTATAAATATTAAGTAAAATAAATTAATTTTATATAAGGTACCTAGTTTTTTACATATTCATCGTGAATTGCAAATGTATTAACTACATTTCATTCTGAAAAGTTGTTGTCCTACATATACTATGGATAATGTGTTCGTAAATATGGATAAGTTAAGAAAATATATATGTTTGTTTGAAATATATATTTTTTAAAGATTCTTATAGATATAGATATCTGAAAGATATAGATCTGATAGCTACAGATATCTCTAACGCATTTACATTACGTATAATTGGCGCATACTTATTGCGTAAACTTGTATGTCATCAGTAGTATGTTGGAATATATTGCATAAATAAAATTATTATAAGATAAATACAGACATTAGTCACAGATACTTTAAGTTTGTTTCCAAGGTGCAGTTGATATATATTTTTATATAAAATATTATACTTATGCATTGATGAATAACTTAAAGACACACCTTATAAACTAATAATGCGATGAAAAAAAGTATATACGTGGAAAAAAATTTATTGAAAAATATACGAGGGCTGCATATTAGTATAACAGTATAATAGAATTTAATAAAAAGTCCTGTTTAATAATAGTCATGTAACGATAGTAAAAAATGCATTAATACGAAGTCACAGTCAGACACACAACTACTCACAGACAACAACGTCTCACTTATAGCACGCCCTTTTTTTGTTATTTAAAAAGTGACAGTAGAGAAAATCTTGGAATAATTCCAAATAAATATCGTCCAAAAAAGCATTAATATATAATTAATAATATACTACAAATACGAAAGTATTCACCAGAGCGATTCTACTTATACATAAACCTGGCCTTATTATCTCTTTTTTAAATTCTTTTTACATCGCTCGTTATTTTTAAAGCCGTATACATAGGCAAAGTATAAAATTAGTAATGTTACATTTAAATAAATTATTCATTCAATACATATAGCGCGCAGTTAGACCTAGATTCAATGTTTTTTTAATCTTTCTGTCATCGTGACATACATTATGGGGCGCCATCTTCTTAACAGCACACGGATGTCTCCTATCCGCCATTAGCATGCTACAATTGTCTATATATAAGGAAAAGTTTGAGGACGTAGAACAACCTCCTCGCACTAAATGTTCGCTGAATGTTTGATTTATAAGCGGAAATGGAAATTTTCCTCATTATAAAATCATAATTAACATGAATCTAGTAAAATCAATAGGAAATATAAGGATAGAAAAATATTTAAATAGTTTATTATTTCACAATAGATTGCGTAAAACAGCAAGCACTAGTTGTAAGGGTTACAGAAATCGAAGTTATATATGTTTATTATAATATAATATTGTCACTCAGAACTAAAGAAGTCCTACAAATTAAAAGTTTAAAAATTTGCGCTTGTATGTTGTCTCCTTAATAAATTTTAATGGACATATTACTGTAAATAAACCGGTGTAATAATCTCCATAAAATAAAATTATGTGTTCAAATTTCTACTTAAGGTAAATTTTAATAAAAAAAAAATTATTAAACAAGGTCAAAAATGTGTCCTAATAGAGTTATCAGGAAAATGAATTCGGATTTTGTTCATAAGAGACGCATTTGAAGGTATTTCCTTACAGATGTAAACTGTGTAAAAGAGCAATATAAGTCTTATTATTCGGTTCAAAAATCACAGTTTATTTAGAGTTAGTTAATTGTGCTACTTCGCCCCTTATAAATAATAATCATTCAATGCCATATTATATTTCCTTTAAAACTCTATATTAATCTATCGCAAATATGCTTGTTACAATAAAAATATTACTGAATTACTTACATATAAGTGATAACCAAAATTTGTATTAAAAACGGATATTTCACTGAAAAATTTAGCTTCAATGACAAGCAAACAGTACTGGCCTTAGACGCGTCGTGATCACTGACTTAGGAAATTAATTAGACTTGTGCTTGCCACTGAAAATAACATGTTATATATATTATATATGTATGAATAAAACTATTATTTCATATTCATAATAATTTTAAATAAAGCAGTATTACTGAAGATAGCGGTTAAAGGGCCCGCCTCTCGTCGCCGAGGGCGCGGGTTCGATCCTGGCCCGGGAAAGTACCAATGTGATTTTTCCGAATCATATGTACTTTCTAAGAGTATTTAGACATCACTGATTAATGTTGATTCCCAAAAGAGGGTTGATGTCAGGCAGGCGGCCGGTCGTAAAAACAAATAGCCAAAAACTACTTTTTGTATATATAGAAGTAGTTTAGTCTCTATGAATCTTTTCCCATCCAATTTTTAATATATTTCTCATGAGAAATTTGTATATAATGTGCTAATATGCAACAATATATGTTAATGTCACTGGAATCACGATCACACTAATATATAAAACATACCGAAGTCGCAAAATTCAAAGATTTATTACAATGTATTTTTATTATTTAAACCATTATCGTTCTCCAAAACCAACATTATAAAATATCAAAGCAGGTAAGTTCCACTATATTTAGAATATAACTTTATACCTACAAAGGACATAATGTTAAGCATCAAGAAATTTCTCAATTGCATTCGTTATCTTTTATTTGTTTATCGGATGCCTGACGATCGAAATCTAAACACTTCATTATATGTATTGAAATCAATTACAGAAGCCACTTAAGATACTGAGGCTATTTGATTTGTAAGGTTAATAATACTTAACAAAGTTATATTGTTTCATATTGTATAATTGAAATCGTCGTCTTTGTATGAAAGAAGAAAGCAAAAGAATTATTTGTTCACGAATTTTTCGCTGCCGTCCAGACCTTAACCGTGATTTCGACCTTGGTATTGTAAACGTTCAATGGTGACGCTATTTTATATCTATTTGATGTAAATCAACCAACAATGATGGCACCGCACCTTCTTCAACGATACTATAAAATTTGTATGGTCCGTACCATGAAAACTAATAATTGCTTCCGCGACGAACACAAAAGTATTAAGATTGATAAATTTTCATATATTTTTTATGAAATGGTATTAATGTTAGATTGTAATTCATGTTTAATCTTCTTTTTCTACCTGGCAATTTCCCAGCTTTAGCCGGGGTCTGCCTTCAATGTTGTAAATAGTTTTGGCTACTTGTTTTTTACGACCGGCTGCCTACCTGACATCAACCCTCTTTGGGAATGCATTAATCACCAAGCTTGCTCAAGACGGGTTGGTAGTTTCAAACTTATAATTGAGAAATTATAAGTCCAGGTTTCCTGACGATGTTTTCCTTCACCGTATATCAGTACTCAGTGGTGTCTAAATACTCTCAGAAAGTACATATGATTCGGAAAAATCACATTGGTACTTGCCAGGATCGAACCCGAGCCCTCATGCATGAGAGGAGGGCCTTTTAACCACTAGGCTACCACTGACTATTTGATGTTTATTTGCAATCAAAAAAGATAGTACCCGTTCCTAAAATCATTAACATTTACTTGTTAGATAGAAATTTATTATCGTGGTTCTCTGTTTCAGTAACATATTGGACATAAATAAAAAAAAATCCAATAAAACTGTAGGAGTACCTAAATATTTTTCTATAACATTTGTAAAATTGAGTAAGAAGTATATAAAAGTAAGGTTTTTGGATATTAACATTATATAATACCGACATTTTGGTTCCTTTGTACTTAATAGCAAACATCATAAAGGACAGAAGAGATGAAAATAAACATATTCATATTTACAGGGAGTATCTAAGTAGTTTTAAAATAATAAAAAATACGTAGTAAAGACGAAAATGTTAATTTTATTTAATTGAATACGCGCGAAAATCTTAAATATCATTATGAGCAAGAAATATACAAAAAAGACGTATTTTTACAGCCTATATTTGAAACACTTAATTTAAATACCAATTGATATAATTCTAAACCATTTTGTTTTACATTTTGATATGTAGTATAAGTTGTGTTCGCTGTTCTAAACAGCGCCGATAAAAGAAATGAATGCTTCCCTTTTTCATTCTGATTATTTATTTCTTAATTATGATTGAATAACTAAACGTGAAGGTACAGTTTTTCTTTAATAATTAGAAAAGTATAATTTTTTAAATAATAAGAATAGTAATTATTAGAGATGAAAACCTTTTTATAATAATTCCTACACCAAATGCTTTCATAGTACGATTTCTATTCATTTCTTTCCAATTTTATATTAATCTTACAAACTTACAGAAAAGAAAACTAATTTTTATCGTATTTCTTTTTTTAAATAATGTTTTTGTTAAAAATATATTTTTTCCGTAAATTGTTATATGTAAAGCTCTATTAGTTTTAAAGTTGTTCTCCATTTATATGTGATCATAAAATTATGACAAAATATTCAACAAATATTAAGAACCACATTAACAGTCCGTTTGTCTTGTCAAGTCGTGATTTAGATATTATTTCTACTTTGTCTAAGGAGATCGTTATTAAACATTACTTTGTGTAACCACTAGCTAATTGGAGCAAAAGATACTTATTTGTTTTTGTATAATTGTAAAGTAAATTACAGTACTCCTGAATAACAGCTATCATAAACATATGGAAATAAATAAAAGATGAAATTTTACACAGAAAGTACAATTTCAGTTAGAATTTAATACGATGACTTTAATAAAATTCTTCTCTTTTATTGCTTCTATTTACTATTACGAAAAAAAACTGATCGATGCCTTAAAAATGACTTATTTTGATACATTCAGAACTAATATTTTTGTTAAATTGTACGTACAACATTATTAATCACGCAATACTATTTCAGTTATATGAAAGCAACCTTAAGAATTTCTGAACTCACCATATTAAGACAAAAATATTTTATAATAGTCGTATAACAAGATATTTGAAGAACCAAAGTTTCTTTTATAACACAACATTACTGATACAAAAATTCTAGTACTCAGAATTGATTTCTACAGCATTTATCGATTCAGTATCGTGTTCTGTATTAAGATGAATTTGGAAACTGTATTATACCAATCTTATCTAAATGTATGTTTATTTTATTTGACTGTAATTATACTATTAAAGTATATGTAAAACAAGAAAAATGTTTTAAAAATTAAAAGTCATTTATAAAATAGCGGTAGTTTTTAGAATTTTGTAAATAAATAAATGTGTATGAATTTTACATATGAAAGCACAAGATAACAATTTTTTTTTTGAAACGTACTTAAAAGGCAGCTCTAGTAAGCTCTTCTCAAATTTGGTTCGTTAGAGAGAGGAGCTTGGACGGTGAAGATGAGCATTTCACGTGCGTTAGATAGGGGCCCCTTAAACCTACACCTGGGTTGAAAGTCCCAGATACTGTTGAAGCTCCTATCCCTGCAACGATTGACCCGGCATCCACGGGGTGAATCCATTGAAGTTTCGTTTCATACATTTTTCAATCCTTATTAGTGTCAATGTTAGAAGGATGCTTATAATTTACAGACAATCGGACTTTTTATTGTATTATCTGATTCTAAACAATAAGCGCGTCATACTTTATTTTATAGCTTAATGTTATATTATTTAACCGCAAGCGAATAATAATTTTAACGGCTGTTCTATAATTAATACCGTCATAAAATATATTTATTTGTGACATCAAAACCATTATTTAGAGATTTGTTATAAATAATTTTATCATTAATATAACGTGACTGCATAATAAAAAATATTATTAAAAAAATAAATTTTCCTATATTAAATATAGAAGTAACTCTGCTTACTATATAGGCATTATTTTTCTAAAAATTTTGTTGGCCTATGTATGTATTGTATTTTTCCCTATACCACTCACATATTTTCCGTGGACTAGCTGAAAATGCTTTATGACTAAATTTTCAAAGTTTCAACTACAATAAATAGTGATTAAATTATAATAGGTATATATAAAAGAATTCCAACATTATCAAAAAGGTATCATGGAAATGCGACGTCTCATGATTGTTCTCACTTACATAATTTTCATAAAAGACAACGGAATTTCACTTTAATTTAAAGTAATTAATTAAGTAAATTTAATTCCATCGACACATTCTTTATATACGATAGTGTTATAAAAGTAGCAACTGATTTATTAATTTTTGTACTAATTAAAATATATGCGTTTAATTCCAGATCTTCTCTACGAAAACTATATACCAAATGATCCCAGCAAACAGGATAGTATACTCCGTAAGTTGTCGGACTACTGCGGCAAGTCGATGTTCAACTACACCACTGAAGATGCAGAACCACCTTTCAAATGGGATTTCTATCATTCCTTCTTCTTCTCTTACACCGTTGTCAGTACTATAGGTATAGTCATATGATCCGTATTAAATAAATGACAAAAATATTGAACAGTTATTAATTTTTACTTATGTTTATTTTAAGGTTACGGAAATTTAGCACCAACAACTCACCTTTCAAGAATTCTTATGATATTTTACGGTTTGTTTGGAATCCCGATCAATGGTATCTTGCTTGCAAATTTGGGTGAATATTTTGGACTTCAGGTAAAAACTACTATTATGTTTAAAATTATACTAATATATCTTGTAGCATGCGTACATATATAATGTAAATATTTAAAAAATCATCTTTTTTTTTCAGTTAATTTCGGTCTATCGTAAATATAAGCGAAGAAATGAAAAACGTGCTGATAAATTTGACTACATTTTCCATAATTTGGGCATGCTGGGGCAAATCTTTCTCTATTTAGTTCCTGGTTTCTTATTCTTCATATTCCTGCCCGCCTGTATTTTTGTCGTGTTTGAAGGCTGGGATTACGTCGCTGGCATATATTATGCCTTTGTTACTCTAACCACAATAGGTTTTGGGGATTTAGTTGCAGGTACTTACACATCTTTACCTTCTTACTAACTTAAGGTTACATAATTATTAATAAGTCGACATTTTTAATAATAATTTATATATTTTGTAGGAACTGTCAATAATGGATTCAAATCAGGATACTTCTTCGCATATCAAATATTTTTGATTATTTGGATAACCTTTGGGTTAGGGTACATAGTTATGCTTCTGGGTTTTATCACAAGTGGCATGAGATCCGAACGAATTCATCGATTAGAACAGAAATTCGCATATCAAGTGAAATCCACTCAAAGCAAAATTTTGCAAGGTTTTACTAGAGACATAGCGGTAATTAGGAAAATAATAAATGAAGCCAATCTACTTAAATTTAAGGTAAGTCTTGATAATTTTTTTATACATAAATAATTTCTGAAATATGTTTTGATTGTTTTTATAAATCATAAAAATATCTTTTTTGTAGCCCGTATACGTAGAGGCCGCACCTCATATGTACAGAAGCAAGAGTTGCCCCATTTTAACGTTCGACATAGAACCTAGGGATCCCATCGTTAAACGAAAGCGAGCAAATTCCGAAAATATACAGCTAACCGCAAAAGATATGCTTCGAATTCAATCAGACACTGATTTGCTTGGTATCGACAAAGAGAAAACTTTTACTGCTTCTGCTATTGTCAAACCTGTAGAGTTACTGGCCAGGGTGGTTAATGTTCTCGGAGGATTTGAACAACAGCATCAAGATAAAGGAATCAATATATTTGATGACGAACATATTCTAGCTAGTGAGCGACCTCCATTCTTTACCATTGGACAAGATTATATACCATCCAAGTCTATGAGAGCACGCGCATTGAGTGTTGCTGTACCAAATTATCGTAAGGAGTCAGTATCAAAGATGGATCATGACTTTACTTGGACAAATGGTGATACTGCAGAAAAATATAGAAAAGAAGCCAACATCCGTAGTGGAAAGTTATCATTACCAACAAATGTTCAACCCACTGATGGAAGATCGAATTCGAGAAGCTTATTTGCTAGACTTTTTAGAAAACCAAGCTCCAGTGAAAGTCCTGCTGAATATATCAAAGATACTATAAAGGGAAGATTAAGTAATGTTAAAGCTGAACCCGAAATTGCTAGAGAAAAAGAAAGGCGAGGAAGTGTATTTCCTAAAGACGATTATAAGAGTGACTCCGATGGATATAAAGAAAATCTTCGTGGTCATAGCATTTTCCCAATTTACGACTTCTCTGAAGATGAAAATAGGGCTGCAGCTGCAGCTTATCAACAAAAACCAAAACGGCATAGCATTTTCCCTACTTTTGATTTCAGTGAAGATGAAAATGCTTCTGCTGCTAAAGCATACAAAGAAAGAACTAGGTCGGGTAGGCATAGTATATTTCCTACTTTTGACTTCAGCGATCCAGAAGATGATGCTAATCGATATAAGGAGAAAACCAGGAGAGGACGTCATAGCATTTTCCCTACATTTGATTTCAATGATCATACTAGCAACGATGACGATACAGTAGACGAAGATGAAGCTAGTAATTATAAAAACCGAACTCGAAAAGGTCGTCTCAGTTTATTCCCTACTTTTGGTAAATCTCGTCAAAGTGATGATGATACTATGCCTGAAAGTTCAGATGAACTTGTTAATTATAAAGAAAAAACTCGTCATGGTCGAAGCAGTTTGTTTCCTTCATTCGGCAAAAGCAGGAAAATTAGTACACCAGAACAAAGCACGAGTGCCCTCGAGGCTAGTATCAAACAATATCAGAATCAAACTAAAAAGGGACGCAGCAGCTGTTTTGCTGGAGATATTCAAAACTACAGACGATCTACTGAAGGAAGTAATAGTGGCCTGTTTTCAAGCGAACTAGATAATTATCGAAATAGAACCAAACGTGGTCGACCCAGTTTATTCGATCCAGATGTAAATTTAACAAACCTTCCAGAGTCACAACAAGTAGAGGTCCTCGAAAATACAAGTGTCGCAGACTTACTGCGTGCATTAGCAGTCTTAGACACTGTGAATAAGGCCGGTACATCTAACGCAGGCCCAGACGAATTGCACAATAATACAAGACGTATGTCTACAAATCCCGATTTTAATTCGTCTTCCATACCGACGAAGGAACCTGAAGAAACATCTGGTCCAAGAAGAAGAAGAATATCTGTTCGTACCGCTGCTCCACAATTTACCCCTACGTTAGCTACTGTTGTAGCAGGAGCAGAGTTACAAATAACAGCAGCAGCACAGAGGGAGAATCGTATGACTATGTTGACACAGCCTCCACCGCCTTATACCGAAAGTGCTGAAGTTCAAATGCCACGAACAAGAAGATTTTCACCAGCACCCGTAGATAATAGCAGGTCTGGTTTAGCGCCAGTGCCGAGACTATTCTCTCGTATACGCAAAGAAAGTAATGCTCCCAGCGAAGATAACTCTCGGCGTAATAGTCTTACTGACATAGTCATAGATAGTCCAAAGGAAAAACCTTGATAGTGCCTCATAAATTAGTGAAATTAATAGGTTAATGCATATAATTTATTCCTTAAAAATAAGCCGTCCACCATTAAATATGATGTACAGTTATTTAGATATAGACTTATAATCATTCCATTTTAAAAACACGTTAAATAAATTTATTATCGTGTGTAACCTTAATGCCTACATGGTATAATTAATCAATTAAATGTCAAATATATTTTTATGATGCCTTTTTATAGTAAATGCAAGTGAGATTTTAGATTTATATTTATAATAGTTTTTACATACGTTATTTATGTTTTTAATATTACTATCGATGTATGTGATATAATATGTAAATGAAGTTATCAAATAATGAACAATGTTTTTCATACAAGATTCTGAGGTCAGATATAAGTACAAACACGTCAAATGTGATACGTTTTATTCAGTATCATCTGAAACCTTATTCTAAAACTACATATTGTCTAGTCTTTACACTAATATAGTGTACTTACATTAACAAATAAATATTTATAACAAGTATGTATTTCGATTTCTTATTTTTAGATCCAAAACATGACCTTTAAGAAAATAATTGTGTACATTTCATAGTGTAAATTAAAACAGAAATGTTTTTGACACTTTTGTTCGTCTTTTAATAGTCTTGAATAAATGATTTATGAAATATTCAATCCGTATTTGGATAAAACAGAATTATCGTCAAGATTACTTAAATGCAGTGTCGTATAAAAATAGATTTAAACTTTAACATTTGTTCCTTTGTTATTAATAGAATGTATATTTTATAATTATATCTTATAAAAATATTACATCATTAGTCTTAAATGACTGCTTCGTGAGTATTTTCATCAACAGTAATACAAATTGGTTTAATACAATCATTATTTACAATGACATCGTCAATATATACAAAATGTACATCGTCTATACATCGTGATGCAGAGCTGCAACGTTTATATCCATTTTGCGGAGAAAAACTCCGTAATTATATCACTTTCAAGTGGCTAAGCTGTCTCTTCTAACGTTTTTATCTAAACTTAAATTCGAATAACACTGATCTATGTTACCGTTATCGTCTTTGATAAGGGATTCGAATATTGATATTAAGTTATTGATGCCGATGAGGTAGCCGTCTTCATGGTTACCGACCTTCCAAGCGGAATTGTGGTCGATGGTTATGTTCTCTGGCACAGGTACTGTTTTAGCGAAATCTATCATCCAAATAGAGGCTTTTCTTTTGTCGTGAACGAAGAGCAGGGAACTGCCTATCAGTTCGTGAGTTTGGAAGAAGCTTGATTCCATTAGAGTAGCCCGAATAGCCTTCAGCCGTTCGAGATATTTTGGCTGTAAAAATACATACATATTTCATTAAAACAGCAGTTAAAAACGACATCATTGAGTTATTTATTAACAATTATCTATCTAATATATGAATTATTATTATCAATGATTATTTTAACTAACCACGGCAGTGGAGGTGTTAGCGAAATCTTTGAAAGCTTCGACAATTTGATCTCTCGTTTTTGTGGTCTTGAAGTCTTTTGAGCTGGTTCCATCTGCCTTCTTCACGCCTTCTATCCTAAAGCCCAAGGTCGAAGTGGAACTGATTGTCTCTCTCCAAATCATGTACCGTGGCTTGGTAACGCCTTTGCTTCTATGCTCTTCCTCTGTTGGCGCTTTAGGATCTATTTGGATCATTTTCTCGTACATGTCCTGGAAAATAACAAAATAATATTTAACAAAATATTATGGATTGTTATGCAAAAGATCTGAATAATGTTAATTTGTTATGAAGATTCCGTTGATATTAGTTTTCTAATATATAGGTATACAACGCAAAAATAAAGACTTGTGATCTATTTCTTATGAAATACCTACAGTTGTAAAAAAAGAATTTTGATTTGTTTAAAAGAACTGTCATTGTTTATATTAAAAATAATCTCATCATATAAAACGTTATCATCTTTCACGCTTTGACGTTTTTAAGTTGATAAAGCTCTGTATAAATAAATAATTTTCATTGTCATCAACAAACAATTTCTATAATAAGAATGGGGTTTAAACCTAAATACTAAAGGTCATTCGGATTGTGAGATAAGCTATAAACGAGGCAAATGTCACTGTAGACATAATTAAATTATCTTTGCCCTTAAACACGACCCTTTGACGTTCGCTGGCGCTTCCTACAGAACACAGATAATACGCATAATGTAATCAATGTAGTATGTTGTGATACAAATGTTTGTTTCAAAGTTAAACAAATAATAAACTTTATAACTATGATCTGCAATTGATACTACATTTAAATCAGAAGTCTCATTGGCACAACAACACGTGTAGGAGTACAAGTTTTTATCTAACCGTCGCTTCGCGAGAAATATTACTTGATTAAAACTATCAACATAACAATATAATACATACATAACTACTAACATTAATAAATAAAATAGATATCATTTTTTTTTAATCTACTTACTTTTCTTAACTTAGTTTTCTCCTTAGCTTTAGCTAATTCCTCTTCCAGATAAGTCCGTACGCCAATCTTGCAATCCATAACGCATGGACAGTCGAAGTCGCTGAGGAGATCTTGGAGTTGTAAATATACTGATAGGTGACCATTAAGAAATATATTATTGGATAATATATCATTGGGCACTCGGCCTCTTGATGTTATTAACAAAAAATTTTATTATATGAAAATATAAATATTTTATGTATGACATAACAGTAAAATAACTAAAATTTTGAATGAGGTTAAACTATAAAATTAAGTTTCAAAATAAAAGACAAATATTTGATTATTAATTTCGGTTAAAAAAATAAGAATGTCTATAGGAGTTTAATGTTACCACAGACTTGAGGGCTATTTAGTATTTTTTAATTATAAATATTATTTTAATAGGACATTGTACTAAAATTAATTTGTTTGATTGTAAAAAGGATACATTCGCCGTCTTCGCATGTGACCTGTCCTTTGTAACCAGGAACGAATGGTCGCAATACATCCTTCATCAGCAACTGGAAGACAAAATATTATTATATAACATTAATAATAAAAAAAACAAAATAACTTGTTTTGATAATATTTACAACAAATACACGAAAAGTAAATTTCTTTCGTTGCGGTTAATCAGGCCGTCAGTCGTCACGATTGCTTATACTTACAATTACTTCAATTCATTGTGACTTTCAAATAATTATAATATTTTATTCTTTTGTTGTATTCTATCAATTACAAAGTGATATATGTAACAAATAATAGATTTACTCTTCCATAGACATTTGTTTAGTTCTTAAGCTAAAATCTTAAAGAAGCTCTCGAAGAGAATACAAAATTTTTTAGAGAAATCACAGAGAAAAAAAACCATTAATAAATCATATTAAGATTACTTATCATATGATTTTAAATATTATCAATAATGTATGTGGGTTTTGTTTAAATGTTCTATTATGACCCGATAATGTGAACTCATTAATAATGAAAGCTTATTTGACAATGAGTGACGCAAGCGATTCCAAAAAACTAATGACATGCGACGTCAACGAAAATAACGTTTAAATTACAGAATGGTGGCATTCATGATAAGAAACTGGTTGGTAACATTTTTAAACCGCTGTTTACGTCATAGCAATAATTAAAAATATAAGTTAATGACCAAGTCACGATTGTTATTCAAACTTGATTTTCATCTAAATTATTTATTACATGCATACATTCCATTGAACTTAAAATTAATTAACTATATTTAAATTAAGATGATTTAAATAATATGAAAATTTCAGCAAAGATAATTATGTCGTCGTTTTAAATGCGTATATGTTAGATGACAAAATCGCACTTCGACCTAGAATAAGGAAAAGAATCTCGTTATCAGTGTAAACAGTAAATATTTATTAGTATGTGATATACTAATACTCGAGTAACCGGTAGTTAATACGACAACTATCCCAAGACACCATAATCAACATTTTATATTGAGATTTGTATGATAAGAATGCGTCGAAACTAAACCATATAATATAACTGAAGAATTTTAATAGAATCCTTGTTAAAATATCTCTCTAAGGAAATCTATACGCGACTTGCAGTAACTTAAATTGAATCCTTAATATAACTTAATAAGAATATACGTACCTAATGTTTACGAAAATAAAATGTACTAGTGGACTTTTTAATTTTATTTTTGATTGGTATTTTATTTATATATTATGCTTAATATAATTATTTCCTTTAAATATAACATATCCTCTCGACATTTAAGTATAAACAATTTCAGATCGAAAGCATGAAACGTTCATTCTAAAATCTTAATTACTACCTACATACATCTTAACAATTTCTGGAATATATAATTAAGCTAAAATGGTATATAATAAACAATAAGGAAAACTACTTAAGGGGAAAAATTATATTCCCATCAAAAAGATCCAACTCACTACGAGCAAAGGAAATATTTGTAACGTGCGTTGGTAAATTGCTGCGGTAATTCTAAGAACTGGGAATGTTTATATCAAGTTTATATTTCATAGAAAAATGTACTGGTATCTATTGTTTTGGTTCAAAAATCATTATTATTTTTTTCACAAGTATATATATAATTCAAAGAATAATAATTAGCTATAACCCATGAACCAAAATTCATAAAAATACGCGTAAATGTAACCGTAATACATAAATAAATTTAATTCCACGTGTATATAATTTTATATTATGTAAGAATGACTATTATTTCTAAAGCAGATGTTATTATTTTATTATATATATTTTATTCCATACAATGAATTATTCATCACAGCATACCGTAAGTTTCCATTGCATTAAATTAAAAAAATATATATTATTATTATACTTTATGACGTTTAAAATGAGAACATTTTATATTGTTTTTAAATTTGCAATTTGAAATTGCGTATAAATCAAATAAAGTGTCGTAAATTGTTTTTTATGTATAGTGCCACTATAAAATAGGCAAATGTCTTCCAAAGTACATATATATTTTTTAAGATGTTTTATTCCAATTACCTTAAAGCATCTTTCTTCTTGTGGGCTCAGCTTCTTTAATATGGTTCCCTGGTCTGGTCCGGCTTTGAAGTTCCCCTGGTGACCAGCTAGCTGTACCCAAGGGTACCTCTGCTTCTTGTAGGTTTGAAAAAAGGGGGTCCATTGCACAATATTCCTCAGCTTCCTCCATCTTTCTGATTGCTGTAATGGAAAGAGGAGTCATTTAATATGATTATTAGGACAAACATGTCTACAATTACATGGATTTCTTTCCCTCAAATATTTTGTTGCAATTTTTTTTTATCAGTAACATTTAAATTTAAATCTCATCGAGTCATTCTGTTTTTGAACGAAGTAAGTAACTTAATATATGACAATTAAAGTCCATTAAAAATCACCAACAGTTTTGAAATCTGCTAAAAAATATTTGATATTTATTTCTACAATGATAAATTCAGTGTAATAGTTGTAATAAAAAAAAACTTTTCTGTTAGGAAAAAATTATACAAATCAAAACATTTCGTCGCCAGTTCTCGCACGTTCCCATGCTGATTTTAAATCAATTCTTATGATTTCATATTACAAGGTTGTTATTCGTTAATATCAAAAGCATCATATTTATAACGTGAACACAAAAACATCACACCAAGTTTCAATGAAAACTCCTGGCTACAAACTCCTTTTTTGCAACGAGGACAAAAAAGCGGAAAGTACTGAACTTGCATCATATCGCTACCAGTATCACGCGGATTATTAATTACACATAATTAATTAATTAATAATATGCAATTACATCAAAAATATATAATAAAAATATAAAATACCTTCGATGAATTATAAATATAAGCACAGTACACGACATCCATAAAATCCTTAATGTTCAAACAAATATCACCCGAATACATTATGACAGTTCACTCACAACTAATTCACTCACTCAACTAACTGACTGTAAAAGAATAAAGTCCGTAATATAATTCAAATTTCGCGGCAATGTGCACTATATTCAGTCCTCTATGACACACTGAGTTTCATAGCGCTACGTCGCAAATATAAATGTATTAAATATTATCTGTAGCTGACTCAGTTAGGCGGTAAGCGGGTGACGTCAGTATAACGCGACCTATGTAAAAACTTATAAATTTGTACGATTGGTGGAAATCCGGATCGGACCGTAATTCGCGAGAAAGGATCATTTTATACGTCACAGCCCACAATACCTTTGACTAATAAATATGATTTCGTCACAACTCTTCCGCGACTTTGATGTGAGTAACTTGATTTAAAAGGAATCCAATTTTAATGTTTTATTTAATTATATTATTCTTAAGGACGGGAACTACTAGTATAATTATAATATCCTGTTGGTTTACTTAAATCAATTTAAATATTAATAATACCATGTATAAAATACATACGATTTCTTGATAAGAAATGTGTCATATTTTATTAAAAATATTGCATGTAGCGACGACTCTCACTATATATTTGATAATAAATAATATTTAGATTAAATTTATTCGACAAACTTTTCTTAGAGCCCTAAAGATTTCTACTAAACACAATTATTTATTAGACCTCTCTTGTTAACTACAAAACTTTAGGCTGCTACAGTTTTAAGCTAAGTCGCTGAAATTTCCATAAAGCTAAATTACTCAAACAATTTCTAAAAGTTACATATTTTCGTAAATATCCCATTAAATTTATAAGCAGTTCATATATTTTTTGCAAGCCAACATGTACGTAATTACTTCGATTCTAAACAATCCCACGACAATGGCTGAAATTTGATAACATCCAACACTGTTTACAACAGTTTGAAGATCATAATTCAAATTTGCGTATTGTATTTCAAAGTGTATTTAAAGAAAAACAATCTTTGACTGCATTTAATTTTAAAGTAGTATTAAATATTATGGTGAGTTATATAATAAGCTTTTTTCAATTCAAACTATTAAGTAAATTTTCTTAAACCGGTTCTAATTATCGTGAAAAACATGCAGAAGGTCGTGTCAAATTATCATCACTGATTACCTCTCGCCGACCTATAAACTCTATATCTTCATAGAAACCAGTTTGTTATATATAATTTTAAACATATCAATGATTATAAAAGTAATTATATAAATATTATTTGCTTTATATACATTTTATTTATAATAAAATTAATTATACAACAAAAAACTGTTAATATAACGTACTTAAACATTATATTGAATAAAATGATGCAATGAAATTAATTTCCTTTACGTTTTAGGATATTCTGAAAACCCCGTATTTTTCTAGGACACGCATATATCAATTAAGGCAACAGTATGAATGTCAGTTTATTTTGGAGGCATTCTGAAAAACCCATATTTTTTTCTATGATATGCACAGTTTTTACTGTACACAAGTTTAAACTGTAGGTCCCTTTTTATATGTATGATGCCACAATTCTGAACAATTTCATCATCTACATAAACCAGAACCTATTATCTTAGTGATCGGTTTAGTAATGATTATAATCTTAAGCGTCAGTCTCACAGTTCAGATAACCATTGACAATCCGTAAAATATAATTACAATTAGGTTATACATTGGTTTTTTAGAATCGTTTTAGACCCAGAGGTAATACAAAAAACCCTATGCACGTAATCAAACGGGAAAATTATCCATCCTCGCTATTTTTGAGAGTTGCTTGAAAATTTTGGCACATTATACTGTAATGAATCATCTATTAACTTGGAATATAAAATGATTCATCGTTAAAAAGTTGAGAGTAAAAAAATTGCGAGCACTCAGCTTCATAATTAGATGTTAAAGATGTTATTAAATGTTTATTTAAATTTTCTTGTCAGGCTGACTTTCTTCTAAATTTATTAATAATAAAATATTTATAAAATTAACTATTACATTACAACTACGTAATACGTCTCCTATTACGTATTTATCTGTAATTCCAGTTGTCATGTAAATATTACTAGCAGCAATATATTATATTACAAGTATATTTGCTTGTTTGTGTTTACATTCCTTTTATTTTAATTTCATTAATGTACGTCAATCAATGCCAGTTTAAACAAACATGTTACGAAATACGTAAACAAAGAAACGTGTTAAAGTCAACCGGCCTTTAGACAATAGTGAGAACATCGCATTTTGACACTTGTTATGAAATAAAGGTACTTACTCGGTTTAATACGGTGGTGTACTTGACATATTTATAAAAAATTATAATATCTAAATTATATGGGCTTTTTTGTATTGGAATAAATACGGAATAAATAAAATATATCAATGTTTATAAGAATAAACCCCATTTCTTCCTGGTGACGCTATAACTTGAGAAAGGCTGTACGGATTATATTCGCCTTTTTTTGTAACTTTTCCAATACTTTATTGAACGCGTTTACATAAAAAAAAGAAAATTTATGCAGAAAGAGAAAATTTAAAAAGATATTTTTCGTGAGATCTAAGACTTTTGACGAGTTTACATTTAAATGAAAGTAGTATTTTCGGATTATACCGCCTTATTTTATAATTTTTAAAACTCCATACTCCCGACATTTCGGTTACTTTGCAGAAACCGTGATCACGGGCAGACGAGATGAGAACTTCCCATCTCATCTTCCCGAAACGTCAAGAGTATGTAGTTTTAAAAATAACAAAATAACGCATAGTAATTCTTCTTCTTTAGTTATTGACGTTTCCTTATAGATTTCACCAATATCGTGTGCCGATATTATACAGAACTATGTAAAGAGGGATTTGTGAATGAAGAAGGTCGCGACTAGAAGCTAAAAGCTAGGATACTGCTGAGGTCGTTCATTGAGTGATAAAATGTTGATGTATTTAAAATATGCAAAAAAGACGCACACTTTATACCATAATAATTCAAAAATATTAATTTTATTTAAAGCTATTTCTATAATATATTTTTTTATCGTACTCTTTGCTTGACACGTTTATATAACTGTCAGTTGTTTGACACTTGTCTGTCAGTTGTCCAAACAGATCGCATAACGCCAATGTCGTGTAAAAAGATCGCATTTCTAACATAGAGTTACGTTAATTTGTTGGTCCGAGTAAAACATTTTAATAGAAATCCATGGTATTTTAATAATTTTCGACGTAAATCCACTCATTTCTCTTTTTCAAAAGATTTCATACCAAATCCATAGGTTCATAGATAGCAATACTTAAAAATGTTAGCGTTTATTTACAAAACACAATAAAAATATCTGTAAGTATTATAATGGATACTTATATCACTTATCATTTAAGTAATTGAAACGATCATAATTTAAAAATATTACACTTTAATGGTTTTCATCATTTGCTATAAGCCGTTTTGAGAAGTTAAATTATGATATTAATTTTGTTTTAAGTGGAAATTAATTTTCATTACGTATAGATGTCGTCAATATAATAAATAGAAGGAAATATATCAAATATTTATAAGTTAAATGGGATGCCACTTCATGGACTTAGAACTAACTACACTAAGTTATTTGAGCCTAATTTATTTGCAATTTTTTTTTTTTTTAATATTTTCTTTTTTTTTCTACTACAAACAGTAGTATAAATTTGGCATTAATCATTTTAATTTTGTTTTAATGTGACAATTCTACATATATAGATTAAATGAAATTATCATTTAATCTATTACTTTAATTCAATCTATTGAAATGTTTGAAATAACATTACGCCGGTCGCGATGAAGATGTGTAAAAGTAACAAGCAATCTTTGACCAACATTCATTACAACAGTACATTTAGAAATCTTACGTTGACGCAATTCTCTACCTACGACACCACTTAGTACGTGTGTCACTAAGAATATATATGAATGTATTAAATACTAACTCAAAAACCTGATTACTTGTAAACAACTTTACACATAACATTCATTTACAACGAAGAAAACTTATTGCATTACATATCATTGAATTTCAATTCATACATTCAGTGACGCAAGAATATAATTCAATCAACTTTTAAACAGGTGCAAAAGATATATTGCGAGATTGTAGGCATTTTATTTTATTTATTAAAACTATTCGAAACATAATTATGTTTACGCAGATGCTTTGTCCTTGTCCTGCAAATATGATTATAATGCGTGTAACAGAGATAAATTCGTGAACCTACGTAGGTCATTTACCCTTGTACGTATTTATGTGTTATAAACTTTATGTATATAATAATAAAGGTTAGAT